TTCCTTCTTCGGTAATTAAGATTGTGACAAGAATATCTGTTTTATTATTTATTATTTATATGAGAAATTAAAAAAGAAAATCTTAATAGATATCTTAATAAATAGTTAATATGTAATTAAAATTATTTTAGTTTAGATTTTACACATAATATAGATGATAAAAACTGTTTTACGAATTAGCCTTGAAATGCGAGAGGATTGTTAAAGCGCTAGTTCCTATTTTTTTGTGTGAACCTAAATTTCTGATCGCTTCTGTTCTACAAGGCAGCATGGCTTATTACAAGAAAGCGAAGAACAGACTGCAAAGAGCTGTCTTCTCTCGGCACTTAGATGAGAAAACACCCCGGCACCATCAGATAATTGCATCCACTTTGCGTTCGATGTCGTGCTCTGGCGAAGATCTCAATACAAATATTTAAATAAAAAGGGAACACGCAAGGGAGGCTGACGTCGCGGCAGCGAAAGCTGCTCGCGAATTGGTGCGACAAGAAATTGGAACGAATATTTTGTTTCCCGGTGTAGAGAATCGATTCGAGCGCCCTGCGCGACATCGCGTCGCACGAAAACTTGCGGAATACTTTTTGCGGGTGAAGTTCCTGGGATTTGCGCCAGGAACGTCATCGGAGCGAAACACGATCCCCAAACTTCGGTCTTGATCGCAAGCTTTGCAAAAATGCAAAGGCGGATCGTGTAAAGTGCACTTCGGTATTTCGTTCCGATGGCGGATCGGCAAATACATGGAAGAGATGCATTAGAGAAGCGCATAGAAACTGCACGGGGGCGACTCCGTCCGGAGCTGCGGTACGCGCAAAGGACGAGAGACGCGGAGATTATATTTGTTTTGCGGGGGCGACAGGCACGACGGTATTCATCCCTCTCCTTTCCTTCCGCAGAGAGAGGAAAATATCTCTCGCCACGAAGGGAATTCGCGGCGACGCGAAAACGGCAAACGTCTTGAATATAAACGGACTGCGGAATGATTCCGGGGTGTGTGTTGCCTATGAGAGTGGCGTCGTCCGTGGGTGGATGCTGGCGAGAAGACAGGGGTGTTATTCATCTTCGTTCGGTATCTGAATTTCAGCCCCGCTTCTCGAGCCCGAGCGAGAGCTCACGAAAATCCGGAAGCGGAGAAATCTCACCCCTGAATCTAAATCCGCGTTGCGCTGCCGGCAACGATTTCCTTCCTGCGACGAGACGAGACGTCTCCGCTCCAGATTTATTCTCCGCGCACTTCGCCTCTTGTCCGCCTCGCCGCGAGGCAGAACTGTGAAAATCACGTTGAACGCCTGAATTCTGCTTCATTAGCGTTCTTTTGTGACGAGACATTCGATTTTACGTCTCCCATATCCCATATATTTTCGCGGTCCTCCGCGATTTTGAAAATCTGAATTTGCGTACGATACATGATGAGACAAACAAGTTTTCTTAGATAAATTTATATTAATGAATTTGTATTAGTCACACATACGCACAAAGTTTATTTAATGATCACTGTGAAATTTAACTATTTAATATTCTTTGATATCACTTATAGGAATTAATTTTTTTAGCTCATGCACGCGCGTGCATTTTCGATCGAAAAATTCCCGAACAGAGTGCAAGAAATTAATGTATTTGCTGCAGTGAACGTGTCGGATTTGCGGAAATACATACAGGGACGACCTGTTTGTTTTCAGGATAGCGTGGAATGGTGCAGCTGCCGCTCGACGATGGCGGCGTACAAATTGTCAGGAAGAACACGTTCGGATTCCTCGGTGAAATAAGCAATCGCGGATATCGTAAGTGGTAAAGCCGCTTATTCGAGCCGGCGCAGCGGACTTGTTCAGACTTCCAGACTCTCCCGGCGCTTCCATGGTAAAATGAAACTTTTGTCGCACCTGTTGCACGACAGGTGTATTTTTGACAGATGCGCGCGCTCTCGAGCTAGCGTGTAAAACCCGTTCTCGTGACTTGTGTGGTCGAGTCACGACGATCTGACGATCTTGCTCGACGAAAAGGCACCTCCAAATTTGCATATGTCGTTTCTAACTTGCTAATCTCCTAACTTAGTCGGCTTGCGATATTGTCACAAGTTATCGTCTCTCTCGAGCATTTTGAAAAATCGCGAATCGAGCGATAGCTAAGCAAAAGCGTTTTGAAGATGGATCCGCGATCGTACGCACAAGATGGAAAGGAAAAATTTATTGGAAATTGTGAGAAGTGCTGAAGCAAAGAGAAAGAGAGCGACAAGATGACGGACCTGCTCAATACAAGTGAGATTCCGAATATTTGCTTGCTACCGAAAGACCTGGATGTGCTGGAGGATCCTCGAACGCCGACTTTGAGGAGGATCAGTTACGGTATCGTGTTGCCGGCTATTTGTTGCCTCGGCATCATCGGAAATATCTTAAATCTCATCGTACTCACGAGAAGAAACATGCGTGGCACCGCTTATATCTACATGAGAGGTGAGCATTATTTATCGATAGATATCTATTGCTGTTTATTTTTTGGTCAAAAAGTTTATTTTTACGCTCAATAAAGATTTGCATGTAAATAATGTTGTCGTAGAGAAGAAAATTAGATCATTAGAAAATAATAATTAAATCATATATTTAATTGTAGCGTTCACATAAAATCGCAATTAATTTATAAAAATTTTTTATATAATTATATAAAAATGTCAACACAGTAATTATTTGTCACAAAAACATCATCTCTTCCAAATCAAATGTAGAATAAATTATCAACGTCGCGACAGGTATTTTCTCGATAATGAAATAGAAATGAATTTATAATAACGAAAAGTAGAACTGAAAGTAGTATCTGTGTTGATAACATTTTTTTAGATAAGAGGAAAAGACAAGGTAGATGCATTGAAATAAGAGACGATGAGAAAGAAGCAGCGCCATTAGCAATGTGTAATACCTTTCAATAAAATTATTCCATGTTTACGTAACATCGGGACAGGAAGCTCGATTGCATTACTTTCAATGGGGTGCATTATCGGACGTTCAAGAGGGTGCACGATTTAGTACAGGGAATATTGTTAGCGTATGCGTTCATTACGCACGTCGATTATCTAATTATCGAATTATTATTCGTCAATAATTTTCGTTTTTAAAACTGAAAGTTGGATCACTAAAGAAAAATCTGGGAAAGGAAGCGATATCTCTTCGGGCGTTAAAATATAAAAGTGAATTTTTCCTTACCAGCGTGCGAAGAAACGCATTGATAATCTAGTTGAAAACGTAATTTCTTTCCTTCAATGAGAATGGAACAATTATCCAACCCTTAAGAATATTTTAAACAAAGCTCTCAATCTCTCTTCGTTTTAATCCTAATTTTTTTGTTTTAGAAGAAAACAACACTCTAACTGCAGAAATAGCCGCCCAAAGAGCGATTTGCTCGCGTTTCATCCCGAAAGCATCTGTCAGGGAATATTCTTTTGAAACGAAAAGATGAAAATTGAACGTTACATTCAGCGCGAATTTTTCGTGGAGATTAACGATCTGTTTGCTCGACCGGAAAAAGACGAGCATTACTCTCAATTAACCTTCCAATCGTTACGCCCGTCGATTTGACTATTTCACTGCAGACCGATCATTAATATTCATCGCCACAGTTTCGCGGGACAACAACGCGATCGGGTAACGTGTATCCGCTTCGGAAATGCGAACGTCGGATACGTCGGTCACGTCGGAAAGCGCTTTCAGATTAAACCGGTGTGAATCTCATCTTGCCGTCTTACTGTCTCGTCGAAAATGAACGGCGAAATTCTAGTCTGTGATTGAGGAATCGACGGCTCGAGTTGACTACGAAGAAATTTATTTTTCACGAAGATGCGATCTCAGGTATTGAGATACACCCGTAAAAATCTCGCGACTGCATTCTTTCTTGGAGGAGTAACAATATAAGAAGCCCGCCGTCAAGACAGACCGGCATTTTGATACGAAGCCCAAAGCAATCGGTTTATTTCTACCCGAACTTCCAACTGAGATTCCGACATATCGCCCTCGACCACCCGACTTATTTTTTTTGGCGCCGTGCCATTATTTGTGCTGAATGCCGCCCATGATTTCGACCATTAGCCGCGTTTCACCCTTATTAACGATCCTTTCATCGTCTCGTATATTTATGGACATTTCGAGAAAAAAACAATACGATGTGTGTCATTGACATTGAACCTGTTGCCGCGGCAATCGATATCGATGAATTAATTTGTCGTGAGAAGCACAGTGAAAAAAATTTCTTAGAGATAAATGAATGAACTTACATAAACTAGGAATGCGTTATACGAACATTCTTGCAATATATCTATTTATTTCTTTTATTTTTATTTTTTATTTTTATATTTTAGTTAAATAACTATATTATGAATTTACTTAATAATCTAGTTTTTGTTTTTTCTTATTTTTATTTTAATTAAAGATATCTTAATAATTTCTTTTTATTTCAACTAAAAATACCTTCACAATGCAAAAACATTTCTTGTGTTTAACATAAACATCTCCTTATAGACGAATAACTTTCTTTATTTTCTATACAGAAAGAACAGTTTTGTCGAAATATCTAAAAATTTGGCTGTATACACATCTGAAAAGAATTTTGTTTAGCAATCAAAATAATTTAAGCATAATATATTGCAAAAATTTTTTATATTCTAGTAGTCAATTTTAACGTCCTACATAGCTACTTTGGTGGCTCAACAAAATTATTTTCTACAGTTTGATCAAATTTTTAGTTAATAAAATTGTTCTTTCTGTGTACATACTTCTATCTCAAAATTGAAGCAAATACTGTATATAAAATACGTTGCTTTTGAAAAATTGCTAATTTATTTTTCAATTTGAAGAGTGGCGGAGACGAATCGCGCATATGGAACATAGTCACTTTCGGAGAAAGGAGAGATTTTCTGGATGGACTTGCGCTCGCTGCGTCGAGTCTCTTTCGTAGTTTCCATCTCCGGAGACGATTCGGCGGTTTTTGCGGCGCCGTCGACGTCCATATATGTTTCCCTGGGCAATGATGACGCCGGCGCATTAGGGAGGAAATTACTCGGCAATTTGATTTTGGCATTTTCGCCAAGTTCCATCCCATGCCACGTTCCGAACGAAAACTGTATTCAAGACTCTCGCCCTCGATGGGCGGCACGTCCCCGCCCGAGTTGTGTCTTTATCACCGGTCTGGTCCTTAAGGATTAGATTTCTCCGCGTCTGTAACACGTTTCTCGCGTATTTATGAAGCTTCCTTTCGCAGTCTAACTCCGCAGCCGCAGCTGCAAAACTGCCGAATATAGCCTGGAGCCTCGCACACGGAATCGTGCCACAAGAGTGTAAAGCCGGCCCTAAGTGGTTTACGCTACCGAAGTGTTACGTTCGCTACGAAAGCATTGTCTCGCGTGCGCCCGCTCAATTTCATCTGGTCTATTCTCGGCTTAAACTTTTTAAACTTTTTTTCCAACAACCTATATCCCGTATTAGCATAAATCCAAATCTCTTAGCGTGTATACCCATTCGCAAGTATCATATGTAGATGCATATATCAGGAATAAAAAGAAAGCGCGTCATGTTATATTACATAAAAAAAATAAGGAATAATAACGGTAAAATAAATTATGTATATCAATCTTATCTCAATCTTATCTCAATCATATCTCAATCTTTGTAAATATGTGCAATCTCTGCAGCCATTCTATGCGAACTTTATATCAAAATTTTTTATCATCTTTAAAGAATATTGGAAATTAGCAGATCGCTTACATACATGATTCGATATTGATAGCTGGTGAAAATGTCTTAATATCACAGGAAGTTCGGGTGTAAAAAATTGCACAAAATGTTTGATCTATTTGATTTTCTCGCGCGTGTTAAAAATTTTAGGGTGGATTTAGAGGATGAATGATTAAAAAAAAAAATTGAAACGAAGAAGAAGGAAAAGAGAAAGAAAGGCGAATACAAAAAGAGATGAGGCAGTGCAATCTTGCTTGCTTCACATCATGGGTCAGAGTTTCTTAAACAATTCTCTCTCTCTCT